GCATTGGGAAAATCTGCTGTCAGAGACCTCTCCAAAGTACTGAAGAGCAATGATATCAGTTTGGAGACTAAGGTGTGCCTGACACAGACCATGGTCTTTGCAGTTACTTGCTATGCATCAGAGAGCTAGACAATGACTAGAGATGATAGAAGGAGAGTTGATGCCTTTGAGCTGTGGTTTTGGAGAAGAGTACTGAATATACCACGGACTTCTAGGAGAACAAACAAGTTCGTCCTGGAGAGGGTGAAGCTAGGCTGTTCCTTGGAAGCAAGGATTCTGAAGCTTTCTCTTTCATACCCTGGACAGGTTGCAAGGTGGGATCAGTCCTTGGAGAGGGACGTCATGCTTGGGAGGGTGGAGGGACAGCACAGGAGAGTAAGACCCTCGAGGAGATTAATTGATTCCATCACTGGGCTAATGGGAATAGGTATGTCAGAGAAAATAAGATTGGCAAGCAATAGAGCAGGGTTTAGGGGTGTTGTACATAGGGTCGCTATGAGTCACAGGCAACTCGATGGCACATAACAACAACAACAACTCTGATGTAATGGGTTTCACCTGTTAGGAGGAAGCTCTGCAAACCCCAAAGCTGCACAGCCTAGAAAGAAGGGCAGGCAGCCTCCTGGCATTGTGATTTACAGGCTCAGAAACCCAGTGGATGATCAGCTATGAGTTAAAACTGACCCGATGGCAGTGTTTTAAGAACTTGTTGGGAGCAGTTCCTGACTGTTGCAAAAATGGTTAATGGACTAGACTTCTAGCTCAATTATTTGAAGTCCTCTCAAAAATTCAAATTACAAAATGGTCAGAAGTTATGAAAAGACTCTTCATCAAAGAAAATATTCAGATAGTCAACAAACATATGAAGAAATCACCGAGGTGACTAGTGATGTGTTATGCTATTGTTATGTGCTGTTGTTTTGCCTACCACTTATAGGGACCCTATGAACAATAGACGTAAACCTTGCTCTATCCTATGCTCCCTCACCATGTGATATACTCTAACCAATTGTTACAACAACTGTGTCAATCCGTCTTGCTCAGGGTCTTTGTCTCTTTCTCTGACCCTCAATTTCCTAGCATAATGTCTTTTTCCAACGGTTGACCCCTCCTGACCAACATGCCCAAAGAATATGAGATAAAATTTCCTCATCTTTGACTCTGAGAAGCACTCTGATTGCACTTCCTCCAAGGCAAACTTGTTCTTTTGGCAATATATTAAACAGTCAATACTCTGCTACCATCATTATTCATTGTCTAACCTTCAGATGAATGGGTTGTAATTGAATAAAGATCATGGCTTGGATTAGGCACACCTTAGAAATTAAACTGAAATCTTTGTTCTCTAAAACTTTGGAGAAGTCCTTGGCAGCAGATTTTCCCCAAGACAACATGTCTTTTGCTTTCTTGAATTCTGTTACCCTAGTGTTCATTGTGTATCCAAGTAAAATGAAATTATTGACTACTTCAGTATTTATCACAATGTTGCTTATTGGTCTAGTGAGGAGGATTTTTGTTTTCTTGATTTTGCGATATGTTCTATATGGAAACATTAGCTATTAAAGAGATACAAATAAAAACAGTGAGATACCAGCTCACCCCAGCAATACGTTCAACTGGACAACAAACAGCAGATGCTGACAAGGATGCAGAGAGATTGGAAATCTCATATACTGCTGATGGGATTGTAAACTAGTACAACCATTATGAAAGGCAGTCTTGATTTTCTTCAAAAGGTTGAAAATAGAATTACTGTTTGATCCAGCTATTTCACTATTGAGAATATGTTGTTGTTGTTGTTGTTATGTGCCGTCGAGTCTTTTGCGACTCATAGCGACCCTATGTACAACAGCCCTAAACCGTGCTCTATCCTGTGCCAATCTCATTGCCCCTGACAAACCCATCCCG